AGACTAATTCATCATATGCCATAAAATAAGCTGTTGCTTACAAAAAACTATGCATCTCTAAATTAATCTATAAAGGTGCCACTCTGCCCTGCCTTCTCCATAAATTACAATAAGCACATCTAACGCCAAATGACCCATTTAACCCTAAACGAGCAAACCCCTCCAGAGCACTTCAGACGTACCCCTTGCAACACCCTTTAAGAAAGCTAAGGAAGTTATTCCCACTGAATGGGAGGATAAAAAGATATGGATGCCAAGAACTCCCTAAAGCAGCCATTAATGCCTAGGTGTCTACTGGAACACATTTTGTGCCCATTTCCCTCACTCAAGGTACCAGGGACTCTGCAACTCCCAGCAGGATCAGGGGGAGTTGTAGATACAAGGCCATCTTTAATAGAAAATAGTCCCTATGGCGAAGTCCCTGAAGAGTGGAGCTGAGGAAGCTTCAGGCATTTAGCGCGATTCACTTAAGTCCATGCAGCAGTTTCGTGGCACGGCCAAAACTCGGAGCCCCAGCTCCCATCTTGAACAATTAGGGCCTGCTGCCTGGTAGGGGCCTTCAACTTTGATTTACATACATGCTCATCACTCCTCCATGTGCTCTGGACACTTGTTTTACTGATCCAATCCATATTTTCCAAGACAGCTGGTAGATCACTTTAAACCCACAAGTAGAGAGCTGCTTTTCTTCGCTGAGAAAATGTGCCCTTCTGGATACCCATGTTGGTCTGTGTTTTGCCAACAAGCTTCTATGCAACAATGGCTCTATGCGTGACCTTGTGCTGGACAGAAAAGCAGTTGGCTTTCAGATAAGCTTGCTTTACTGTCTTCTCATTTAGTTATTCCCAGCCCATCTATACTTGAGCACACTCAACTGTCTTACCTGTTAGGTCTTCTCATTTAGTTATTCCCAGCCCATCTATACTTGAGCACACTCAACTGTCTTACCTGTTAGCACGTTCGCGCATCATTAAATCACAACTCTAAACACGCAAGTTTTCCGAGAAAAGGCAAGCTATATTAACAAGTGCTTTAACAAGCGCCAGAAACTAGGAAAAGCACTTCCAGCCAGCATTTTTAAGCCTGGTACCCAAAGTTAATGAGACATGAAAGTATTCATTCCCCTTCTGTTTCAACGCTTTAAAAGATGAGGCTTGTAAACCTGTGTTAAGTCACCAGGTCTGAAGTTGCTGGCCTCTGGATCTGGATTTCATATCCCCTATTCAGACGTGACGAAGTCACTCGGAGCTGTTCTGTTTTCGATCAAGCTCTTTTGGTGCATTGAATGTGTTAAGCCGCTATGAACAAGTGAGGGGGGCAAGGGCCCAATCCTGGTAGGGGGGGCCAGGAGGGGCTACTGCCAGCCCCTCCCCAAGACCCAGCCCAATGCACAAGGGGTTGCAAGTAGACAGTACCAGGCCCCCCAAGACCCTATCTGGCACGCAAGAAGTTGGAAGGGGGCAGTGCCATGTCCCCCAAAACCCAATCCCGGTGCATGGAGGCAGGAGGGGGTGGTGTTGGGCCCTCAGGACCCAATCCCAGCATGTGGAGGGGTGGAGAGGGCAATGCCAGGTCCCAAAGCCTGATCCAGCCTGCAGACTGACCCCACACCACTCAGAGCAAGCACCACTACTTTAGACTAACACCAGCAGTTAAGTCAAGCTGGAGAGGGAGCAACGTGCCTTAGTTTCCCCAGCTTCAAAACAATGCTTTGAACAATGCCTCAAGATCTCTCAGTGAAAGTCAGCATGGAGGAGCCAAGCAGATACTTGCTGAAAGTCATAGCCAGCAATCAGTCAATTTAGTCCAAAGCACCTTCTCCTTGTAATGCCTGACAGCTTGCACGTTAAATCCCAAGATGTTAACATCTGTTTAATCACCTTACACTGCCCCTCTGAAGGACTCCAGAGTCCTTAACAAGCTTAAGGGGAGGGGGAAGGAAATCACTAACTACATGGAATAGTCACTCATACCTAGGAAAATATGCAGCCACCTCTTGGGTGAAGCACAGCTCACAGCAATGCAATAAGTGAAGAACATCGTCACATCTAATTGAAACCATGGGGGCGGGCAGGAGTTACCTTGGCCTGGCTAATTCCCAGTCAAAGAAATCCAAGTCATGCAAACCACTGCATAGTTTTAGTCATCCCTGGTTTGTCTGTCAGTTGTAAGCCTCTTTCAAAAGATATGTGAGTAATTAGCAGCTAGATTGACATTTAAGATGCTCACATTTGCCTACCAAGGTAATCACCGTCACATCAGGTGACTTGCCTCTGAAATAGCATTTCTTTGCCAGGTATAAGAAAACTCCTCTCTATATTGAGCGGGGAGGGCTGCCATCCAGGAAAGCAGGAAAAGTTGGATAGCAAAGAAAGAGACAATGATTTAGGATGTCTGGCACCCACGTTCTCCTTGCTTACCTCCTTATTGCCAGGAGCATTTCCAGGCTTTCAGAAGAAGCCACAGATCAAAGCCTCCGATAAGCCCTTTTTAGTGATTACACACCCGCAACTGGGGCACGCAGGGAATATTTTCAGCCCAAGGAAAAAAGTTTTAAGGGATGAGTAAGCTACGCAAGCACCACACTTGTATGAACTCCTTCTATGAGCACTTTACAAAGGCATTAAGCCCGACAGCACACCCCCTCTAGCAGAGAAACAGGATATGTAGACAGAGAAAATGAAACAAAGAGGTTACGGCTATATACATATACATATATACACACACACACACATATATATATATATATATATATAAAGTCTGAAGAAGCAATAGGTGCTCAGGATACTGGAGGATCGAGCAGTGAAATGGGTGCGTGGAATAACTCCCAGCCTTTGAGAGCCAGGCCTCATTTCTCCAGGAGGTTTGCAGTTGGACATAAAACTAAAAGCTTCTCCTAGATTCTTATGATCTGCGCCGCACAGGACCGCAGGGACCATTCCTCATCCTCCCCGCTTCCAAGTCCTGTATGTGAATCCTAAAGGTTTCTTCCTTCCCCTCTAAACCTGAAGTACAGCACTTCCTTCTGCTACGGTTTCATAGCATGCTACACCATGATTGACCTAATTTCAGACCACAGCAATCAGATCGGAGATTAGGTGTCAGTTAACTAAAGGAATCAATCAATACAGAAGAAATGGCCAGAGACATACCCTGCCTCATCATAAGAGCATCTCCTGGAGACTGAAATAAGCAGGAAATACACTTGATTACTAAAGGAAGAGGGGGACTTGCAAACGACTGACTGCTGCATCGAAGGGAAGGGATGCTCTTTTATGCCAGACACCAGGTACATTTGCACATATAGCTCAGGAATAAGTTTAAATAAAACCCTCAGTGGTTAAAAAACAAATTAAACCTCCCTCTCACTCGCTGTCTGTCCAAGACCTGACACACAGTACAAGTGTTCAGTTTAGTTTACACCATGGCAGCAGCAAAGCCCTATAATTTAAGTTTTGCAAACCAGTAATATGACATCATCTTTTTTTTTTTCCTTTTTTTAAATCTAGATAGATTTTTTTTTTTACACTTCTATTTTGAAGCAAGCTCACATGCCACATGGGTCATACGAATGCATTAGTCACATATTGAAACCAGCCATTCTAGCTTCCCAGGTGCAGAATGACCCAAGAGCAGTCAACAAGCAAACAGTGCAAGTCGAGAAGAGCAAAACTGATTTATTTTGGCTTTAGTAACAGAGGCCTCAATGATGCAATCCGGGGGGG